ACACAGACAACCCCGTGACAATATGCGTTTTGTACCGCTGTTACACAGCACAAAACGCATAAAAAGGAAAAAAGAAAAAGAGGAGGAGAGGGAATAGAATTTATTAATTATAAATTTAGAATGGTTGTGAAAAATAAAAAAAGATTGTGGTATAAAAGTAAAACCTCGATAGACGCTCTGTGCCCCGAGTGGTTTGTCGGCGCAACATCATCGCTATTGGCCTTGGTACGCTTCGAATTTGACATGCTGGAGGTATTATTATCACGAGGGGAGATAGTAGCGATATGAAGTAGCGATATGAACGGAATGTTGGGGTAGTATAATTATTGCAGAACAGCGTATACCAGATATCGCAGAGGGTAGCAGTAGAAGGGGAATGCTTAGAGAAATAGTAAAATTTATTTCGGTGTACAAATGTGTGGACAAGTCAAAACCAACTTGAAATAAGCTATATTTATCACTTATTTGCTCAGGCATTTTCATATATATTTAAGGATATGGATGTTGTCAGTGTTAATTTTTCATCTTCAACCACTCCGGAGTTGTTGATGCGCACATTCGATCATTACTGCGAATACCGTCGTACACCCAATGGTGTGGTACTTTCGCCGGTGCAAATTTCCCGATGGTTGGTCATATTTTGCGACGAAATCAATCTACCAGCCCCAGACAAATATGGTACACAGCGTGTCATTTCGTTCTTACGCCAGCTTGTCGAAATGGTAAGAGCTAATAAATTTTATTTACGTCTTTTTTTTGAACAAAATTTTTTGAATAAAAAGAATTTTTGAATTATTTACGTTTTTTTTGGACAAAATTTTTTGAATAAAAAAAACTTTCGGTTTATTTACGTTTTTTTTGAAAAAAATTTTTTGAATAAAAAAAATTTTTGGTTTATTTACGTCTTTTTTTCGAAAATTTTTTGAACAAAAAATTTTTTTTGAATTATTTACTTTTTTTTTTAGAATGGTTTTTATCGTACATCGGATCAAACTTGGGTATCTCTTGAACGAATCCAGTTTGTTGGAGCTTGTAATCCGCCAACCGATCCTGGTCGACATCCGCTTTCGTTGCGTTTCTTGCGCCATGTCCCTGTGGTATATGTGGATTATCCAGGGCAAACATCCCTAGTGCAAATTTATGGAGCTTTCAACCGAGCCATGTTACGTGTTTCATCCAACTTGCGTTCATTTGCTGAGCCCTTAACAAATGCTATGGTCGATTTCTATCTACAGTCACAGGTAAGGCTTATAATACTCGTTGAGAGCATTTCTTAAATAGCGCGAAGCATGATTTTTAACATCCCATTTGGCACTGATTCTGCCATCTGTGTTTATAGCTCAGGGATGAAACACAGAGAGGATACCAGCTCAATGTACATACAGGCTTGCTTATCTGGGAAATCTAAATGGCACTTCAATTTTTGTGCGTTTTTTGCAGCTATGCAATGTAAAAACGCATACTGACGAGGGGTTGTCTGTGTGTCCATGTGTCTGTGTGTGCGTCTGTCACGCACTTTCATCTCAAGACCTATAAAAGCTGCAAGGCTGAAATTTCGGGAACTTAATCTACATGCACGTGCTGGCCCCAACCCCCAAAATTGGCGCCACCACCCGCGTAGTACCCGCGTGCGGGCCCGCCAAAGTTTTTTTGGGGTATGTTCATAACTCGGGGATCTGAGAAGCTAACGCGCTATAATCTTAGGTGGATGTTCCCCATCCAATTAGGTGATAAATCAGGAGCCAGGAAAGCTAGAAAGCTGAAATTTTAAGGGGCCAGTTCTGGCGGCCAATCTTAATTTGTTCAGCTAGAAGCATTTGCCGAAAAAAACCGATGCCAGTGGCGACAAAAACTGCAGGAAGCTATGCAAAAAACGCATCTTTGCACGGGCAGCCCGTGCGTTGGCCAGTTATTCTTTAATTGTTAAAATTCGATTGTGTTCCTTTCCACGATAGGCAAACAGCGCCGAACAAACTACATATGTTAACACATAGAATAATTGGTTAACCGCCAGTGAAAAGCCGAACAAGTGTAGTGGAAGAAGAAATTGGTTTAAATGTATAACGCGGGGAAATAAGTCGAATTGTAAATGAAAAATCGTAGATCAATAAGAGTCTAAGAATATAGATGGGTCAAAATCTTGAATTAGAGGAATAAAGGGCTTCAGGCCCCATCCTCTTCCAATCTCCTAGCCAGAGATATTCATTGTTTGCATATTAAAATTTTTTGAAGACACATTAAAGCACGCCTCGTACTTTGTTGTTACCACACGACGTTTTGTTGTAATCTACCACATTTTTTTCATTACCAGTTAAGGAAGCGTTAGATCCTAAGCCGATTGTAGCATCCATGTTGAGGGGTGCAAAAGTAAGGAAGGCGTATAAGCAGAGGAAAAAATAGTAAGAAAAAACAATTGAGTTAAGTTGTTTCGGTCCATTAAGTGATATACGTCTTAGCTCAACACCGCGACTGGACCTCGTCAGTATGCGACGGTCGTGGTGTTCAGAGATGAGAAGGAAAATTTCAGCTTCCTAGACCCC